AAAGAAGATTAATCTCTTCATTTTCAGGCATACACTTATCTCCTATCTTCAGTATTCCCATGAGCTACGCAAATGCATGCAGATTTAACTTCATGCATATGCATCCGTTTTCCCAGCATGAAAGTCGAAGCCAAACGGAATACCTGGCTACTCTTGCATTCTAAAATCAGTGCTGCAGGGACGGGGCGTAACGCGAGTAGCTTCTCTACGTACCCAAGGTGAAAATATAATGTTTTGCCCTCGACCCGGCCTGTGATTTCATTAGTGATCAAAGGTCAACACAATTTTTTTCAAATATAAGAATGTTTTCAATACCGACTGTTATTTGAACGAGAACGATCCGTTGGTTGGTTGCGAAATATTTAGGCAAGACAGACCAAACAGAAGAATTTAGAAAATACCACAGTGGCTTCTGAATAAATAACAAAATGCGATATTGTGTGTAAAAACAACATTGCGTTACAAGACAATGTAAAGAAAAGCCCCTTAAAAAAGGCCTCGGCTCCGTCAATGATTCTGCACTTTACGCGCAAAACGAGTAGGTCAACACACAAGACTAAGCCTACGCGATTATTGTAATACCGCTTGTCACGACTTCTTAATGCTTCGGTTCACAGCCCATGGCTGAGACAGTTCGAAAACGCTGCTGAAATTGATTTTTCTGGTGAGTAACTGTTGCCAGTTCCGTTTCTTGCATGGCGTAAAGTTCCATTTTTGGCTGCTTGTTTCTATTCCGCTTCAGATACACGCCATCGGCACACATTGCCAGCTCGTTGAGGGCGGTAGCTGTAAAGAGGTCACAGACGAACTATCAGAAAGAAGCGTAAAATAATACTTGGCGCAGTGCTCTGCTTGTCCTCCAGTGTCACGACCACTAGAAAAATGTTCTGACAATAGGAACGTTCACAGGTGTCAGAGTTCAAACACACACAAAACTATTGCACCAAAGGATAGATTTCCAGGGAAATGTGCATTTCTTCAGTTCTTCCATCGAGTAAAATGGTTGTATTATAGATTATGTCCCATAACAGTGGCCTGACAACAAAAATACTTTGCAATGCAAAATTCAGAAATGGTTTGACACTTTGTAGAATTTTGACAAGACAGTCTTCTATATCATACGTCACTGCCTCATAACTCCGAGGAATAAAGCTAATACGTCTGTATCATCTATGCAAAAAGAAAACAACATCAAAACAAAAAAGGAAGTGCAATAGTCCGACAAATTCAAACCAAACCATTCGAAGGCTCGAACATCTGACGATAAGCTGACATCTTTGCCAGCCGTCCGGCGCAGCACCAGCCGTGTCGAACACATAGACCCCCCCCCCCCCCCCCCCAACTCCATTTCAATGAAGCCGTACTGAGCATAATCCTACATTCCTTTAGACGGCGAGCTTAAGGCAAAGGTGTTCGTATCGGCCCTTTTGAGTCGTAAGCGTTCACTTGAGCTGAAATGACCTCCTCACAGCCAAACGTTTAAGTCGTTTTCTACTGGCATCAAACACTACCAGCTATTGAAACCGGTCTCAAAGCAAACATTCAGGTGCAAAATAATGACAAACCTGCCGCGACTCCAGAACTACGTTTGGCACTTCATCAGAATGCACATTGCCCCTCCCATCACGCCACGGGCTGGTGGTTCTAACAATTCCGTAAAACAAATTTCAGTTTAACGTGTACAAAGTCATTCGAGGAAACTGAAAATACTTCGGCAGAGGAACACAAATGTTTGAAGTTGTTGAAAGCTGCTGAGAATGAAAGAGGGCATAATGGTGAGATCGCATTATCAATGCATGACATGTCGAAAACACTTCCGACATGTCGAAAAAGTGTAAGATATGCTGCCTGACGAAAGCAATTATAGCAAACTTCCCAGCCACCTAGTGGGAAAGATCGAAGCAAAATGCCACAATGTGTTTAAACATACCGCACCAGCAAATTAGCACTGGAGCTAATTGTGAGGGACCCTCCACTTACGCACTGCACAACACCACCTTTCTTTTGACTAACAAAGGGCTTAAAGCAGGGAGCAAACTAAAGCAAAATTACACCCACGGCCTTTTGTATGTGCTTGCTGTGGTCCGACCAAAAAACCAAAAACAAAACAAATAAACAAGCAAATCGGCTCTCAAAGGACTCCAAACCAATCTTTTGTCTTCCAACTACATCTTGGCTCACCTCAGAAACACGAGGATACCTGACAAGGCTCAAAGATCAGTTCCTTGACCACCAACTTCTTAAGAACGCAACAGTCTTCAGCATCGATATTTTCAAGCTGTATGGCAGCATTTCCTGAGAAAGGCTGCATTGGCGGTCACTGACCTTATTTGACATCCCCAGAGTGATATTGACCTTGGTGGTCTCACATCTGAAGACACCACGGTGGTCTCACATCTGAAGACACCACGGTGGTCTCACATCTGAAGACACCACGGTATTCTCACCAACTGTCTCAAAATATTACCTTCATATTCAGCAGACAGCTACAAACAGCAACTCTGTGTCGCCATGGGAAACGAGGTGGGAAACATGGGAAACCATCGGAACCCTCTCCCGTTACAATAATCTGCATGCACGTATAAGAACGAGCTGCCGTATACCCGGCTGGCCGGCCGAATACCCCTCTCTCGGGTGGGGGTGCAGGCAATTTGACCCCCTCCTGAGATGTAAAAGCTAAGATGGCTAGAGACACGAAATTCACAAGGTAGATTAACATCTAAGTGAACTTAGCTGTGTCAGAGTTTGAGGTTTCTAGATCATGACCTTCGAGTCAAATAAGGTCAAGCAGAGTCAAACTCCAAATACGTGCTTCAATTGCCAGCAGACCTCGTCATGCAATTGCCATGAAGCGATTGCATGACGACATACCTGTTCTATGCAACAGGAGAGTGAAGTCAGTGACCTCGTTTGGCCAAGATGATCAAAAATTCACAAAATTGTTCCTATTTGGCTATTCGAATACGTGTCAGGGATTATGCTAGGTGATATTTTTCTAACAACAAAGTGTTGACCGTCGTCATGTGAGGTCAGTGACCTACTCTGATCTTCAAAAAGTACATAGAACATACGTATTGCGATCACTCTCATCAACAGCCTCGAAATGAGCACCAGAAACTACGCCCTAAACCAAGCTTTCGGGTAAAAACAGGTTAGCTTAAGTCTTGTTCTGACTTTTACACCTGACCCTAGGTCAGTTGAAGTGGTTTTTGTTCTAAATTCAATCGTTTTATTACCTACGAAACTGTCTCACATATGTATGCCCTCGTCGAACACTCCGTTGTTGCAGCACATTAAGCGATTCCCTAGAAATGCCCTTCGCTGACAGCCATGACCTGATTTTGACCTGCCGTAGGTCGGTTAACTTATAAAGTTCATCTAGTTTTTTACATACAAATATCCGCTATTCAATTTTCTACATATAGATAAAGTCAAGCGTGGCGTAGCCATGCCGTCTGGAAATCACTCTGAAAAACCTTTGCGACCGGGGGATGGAAATCTGCCCCCCCCCCGCACCTACCCGAGTGCGTGTTAACAAAGCAAGACTGAGACCTGATCCTTTCGCTAGATATTTCGACGACTCAATAAGGGTCTGTATTCATCCTTACGCTAGATATTTCGACGATTCAATAAGGGTCTGTACTCATCCTTACGCTAGATATTTCGACGACTCAAAAAGGGTCTGTAGTCACTCCTACGATGAGCTGTTGGACTTACCGAACTATCTGACTATCCACAGCAGCACCAAGTTCCTTAAAATACGCCCATACATCCGCCCAGCTTGCATTCATGGACACACTGGCGACGGCGGATGCAAATTTCAAGCTTTCAACCGAGCTCAACATGAAACCCAGCCATTATTGGATCGGCATCGATAGCCCATTATCCCATCTTGTCTCCGACAACAAAGACCCGACGTCATCTGCGACGTCCTCTGTCCACAATTACGGCGAACCATGGACATGTCATCGAATGCCACCGCAAGTGAACTCTCGGATCAAAAGAACTTCCAAGCTGGTTCGAAAAAGACGGCTATTCCAAGCAGCTTTACGTGACCTTCATCGAGAAGCCGATCAAATGCATCGAGTGGAGCAACAACATCGATGGAAACAAAGAACAACCTGACAGACAGCAACATCAGCAAACGTCAACTTCAACAGGAACAGAAGAACATTAGAGGACAAGAACAGGAGCATTATCAGCGATAACATTAACACCAACGAGATCAGAGATCAGCATCATCGACTTAACCAGCGTGATTAGCGGAATAAACAAAGATCGAATGTGTCGTACCTACATGGCTACCTTACTTACCCCATCTGAATGTAGTCTTGGCCGTGAAGATACAATCGGTTGTAAAGGTCCAAAAGCCCAGCAAATAGTTTAGCAGAGTTCGTTGGTGTAAGATATGCTGTTCGTAATGCTGAAATTTGCTGTAAAATCCGGTTGGCTGCCTACGAACTCGCCATCATTTCCCTACAGCCCTAACCGGGTTTCGTATTGTGGCTTATAGTTAAATGCACGATTATTTAAAGTTTGCGTGATTGCTTTTGCAGCATGTACCAATATCTCTTTCCCCTGCACCAGCGTATCCCCAAAACCCACGCCGAAGTCAAAGGCTGCCGCATGCGAGGTATTACCATTCCCTTCCACTCCGCTCTCCATGTATAACCATCCCCTATATAACCACCCCTTCCACTCCGCTCTCCATGTATAACCATCCCCTATATAACTACCCCCTTCCACTCCGCTCTCCATGCATAACCATCCCCTAAATAACTACCCCTTCCACTCCGCTCTCCATGTATAACCATCCCCTATATCTAACCCCTTCCACTCCGCTCTCCATGTATACCCATCCCCTATATAACTACCCCCTTTCACTCCGCTCTCCATGCATAACCATCCCCTATAAAACTACCCCCTTCCACTCCGCTCTCCATGCATAACCATCCCCTATACAACCATTCCCTTCCACTCGGCTCCCCATTCAAACTCACCTATGACACCGAGCACCGGCCCAGCGAACACCGAATTGGTGACGATGGTGACGGACTTGAACACCATCACCAGATCGCTGATCGCCAGGTTCAGCAGCAGCAGGTTCGACGGCTTGCGCAGCTTCCGGTGCCTGCGGATTGTGTTAGAATAGGTTATGCACCATTTATGACACATTTGCTTACTGCATGCAACCCTCAAGTAGGTACGCTTTTTGAAGTGTGCTGCGTGGATATCCACGCTCCAGGAGTTTTCAAGGGCATGTCTTAGCTGGCAATGTTCTTTTAGATTAAAGAATACACTGTGTTGAATAATGGGGCGTTCCAAAACCAGAACTACCCTTATATGCTTTTTTGGAATATTTCGCCATTTATGCATTTCACACTTTCCCCAGACCGATTAATATCACGTTTAAACAAAAGGAGCGAGTCATATTAACGCAACAGCATAGCCAAAGGCAGAACCTCTCCAGCCAAACCAGACAAATACTAAACAAATTGCAACGCAAAAGTTCACCGTCTCAGTGACCTTTTAAAGTCTTTTGCTGATTTGAGTGTCAGATAACGGACAAGGCTTACGTCTAGAGGGTATCGTGAAGTATTTAAAAAGATGGTGTTGGTGATGTCGCCTCCGCGAGCTGTCTCCAAAGGCTCGTGCAGACACGCCCACGGCATGTATTATACGAGATCGAAACGTGCGGCAGTTTGAAAGCATGAACTGCGTATTTGGGCGGGGAGCTTTTGTCTTCTTCGGTCTGTCATGTACACGCACATACTGCGTGCATGATGCCTCATTAGCGCTTTCCAAATGCCTCGAATCCATACAATAGCGTCAGCCAGGGTGGTACCGATGCGTTAAGATATCCTGTTCTTCAGCCACGGGCCGGTCTCAGCTGGGTACTGCGGAACAGCCTACCACTCCAGATCCACTAAGCCGCTGCCATCTAGCGACAAGAGATGTAGACTCAGCAATCAGCCTCGGACTCAGCGGACGAATAGCACTCAAGAGGCCACGGCGCGACCGGGGTTTCGAACCCGGCCCCGCACGTGGGAGCTAAAGGCGCTAACCACTCGGCCATTACGTCCCATCATCTGGCGGTTACGCCGATGACGAAAAACCTCCGCGCATAAGGATGGGCGCACTGAACTCTCACCTGGCGAAGACGCAGATGACGAAGAGGTTGCCGGCGCATCCCACCAGCAGGATCAGGGCGTAGCAGGCCGCTATAGCCAGATGGTACCAGTAAGGTGGCGCCGGAAAGCGCGCCCAGAACGGTTGGATTGACTGCAGGTATGGCCGCGAGCAGAGGCCTGTGACAGACACGGGACCATTGACGGAGCTTACGAGCAGGGAGCGGACACAGGGTGACGTCAGTGGCGAGGATGGTAGATTAGCATGCTGGAGCCAGGCTACCCGCACAGAAAATGGTTTATATGAACCAAGCGTTGCATGGCGTAACACGAGATAGACACTGTTTTGCCCTTCCTTCCCGGGGTTCATCGCTGAGGGTTACTGAGGATGCACGGCCTCGCTTACACCTTCAGCTAGAAGTCATTACTCGCAACGTGCTACGTGTGTTTTTTCAGCGGCTGCATGTGCGCACCGGTCTCGAGCTTAATGGATACGGATGAAGGGAGAGATAATGGACGGAGAAAGAGAGTGAGAGAGAGAGAGAGAGAGAGAGAGAGAGAGAGAGAGAGAGAGAGAGAGAGAGAGAGAGAGAGAGAGAGGAGAGAGAGAGAGAGAGAGAGAGAGAGGAGAGAGAGAGAGAGAGAGAGGGGGGGAAATAACAAGGGATAAGCTGAAGGAAAAAGGGCACAATCCCCAGACACGCAGACTTATAAAACACGCCTATAATGAGATGGAAACACATGACCAACGATGCGAGTATACCCAATCAATTAGATCTGGCCCTCCATTAACGTTACCCTGCTACCCAAGAAAACACGTCCGGGGCTGCTTGACCATCACTCATCGTCAGCCGCTGGCGTCGGTGCCCAGTGGAGCCTACCGAGCTGCAGCCAGCTCCTGACATCATAGCCGTTCTCCAGCAGCAGCGACGTCACGTTGACGTCACGCGACGTCACGTTGACGACGGACGGACACGAGCCGGCTGACTCGTCGCAGGCTCGCACCACGCCCGACGACATGTTCATGGTCGGCCCGCTTCGCCTGTGGACGGGCAGAGCTGGCCTCAGGCGCGCCACGGTTCGTCTGTCGCGTAGTCGCATGCCCGCTTCTCTACATGTCATTTTGCGGTTCGCCATTTGACTTTCTGATATCGTTGCATGTTTTTTGTTTGCATTTTGCCTTTTTGCAGCTTGCGGCTCAGCCGATTCGCTTCTTTGCCACGTCGACTATTTCCTGTCGCCAATTTGAAGTCGTCATTTAGCAATCGACAAAATATTATTCCATATTCTCCATATTCTCCAAGCTGACTTTTGGACTTTTGTCCAACAACCGTAACCGTACAGCGCGACCTGTTGGCAAACAACTTGGCTCAGGTGGTAGGGGAGGGGGGGGGGGGGGGAGCGCGGCGAACCTGATACGACCGGCAGGACCCCGAGGGCCCGTGCAAACGTGACTCACTGGCATGTCAACGAAAAGCACGAAATTCTAAAGCCGTAAAAATCGCCGAAACGCGTGTCGAAATCCGGTTAATAGCTCCCCAAAGAGGCATTATAGCGTAACTTGACTCCATACGTCGATGCTGAAAAATGAGCAATCGTGCAGCGAAGCGTGTAAACTGATGCACACAGCCGCTCAGTGCGCTCATGCGCAAGACAAACATCCGATGGATTTTAGGCGTTTTCAGGATTAATGTTGGATCTCACGGACCCGAGCAGAAAACAGCGCGAAGCCAACTGCACCGCGTAGCTGTATGTATCGTTTACAGATCTTCCAGCTACACCATCAATGCCAGACACATTTATTTAGCCCGTTGTTATACCACCATTCAACCAGCACTCTCTCGTATATTGAAGATCTATTATTGTGAGCATAAACAAAGTCTGAACCCACCATGACGAAAAACAAGGAGCTCAAGACCTTTCGTGCTTGTATCACGTGCGATAGGTATTCAATTTCCGCAGTCGCAGCCACACGAGACGAAAAAATGCGACTGAAAAATGCTACACGAAACTGAGACGACAGTATGCAGCTGTATTGACGCTAATATCCGTCACCGCGTGCACAGACCGCGCGGCATCAGGCACAATACTTGGACTAACTAATTCTCCCGCATATTGTGCAGCATATTGCATACCCGAGCCGAAAATATTCAGACGTGTGCAGCCGGGGTCGTGACGACGCAAAAAACAATGTGGCTGAAACACACGAGCGTGAGCACACACGGGGCGAACGCACATAGTAACCCGCAGCGCCCGCGTACCTTCACCAAGGTTATGGCATGCATTTACACGTTCGTGACGAATCGTTGACAGTTAAAATCTAGAGACATACGTAAAATAATATGACCGAGAATATGGGACGTAGTTTTACGACACGTAAAAAGTTGCGGCGCCCCAAACTGCGTTTTGAACAAAAAGTTGGGGTTATGCTGATTACCATTGAGAAATCGTACGCACGCTCCTGTGTACACACAGCTGTTCAGCAACAGCTCGAGTGCGCGTAGCTGGTACGTGCATCGGGCTAGGCGCTGGCGAGAGCAATGCACGAACCGGCTAATTCTATCACATATCGCCACCATTTCGCAGTGACTTTATGAGCCGGCATCTCCAGATTTGGCTTGCGATGGCCAGCAATGAATCCCATCAAAATAACGTTTTTTTATTGAATTCGAGCGTATTGAATTAACAGATTTCTGGCATCAGAGCTCACGCTAAGCAGTGCTTGTTGTGTAGGCCCTTACCTCTACCACCCGATGGCGCAATGCCAAGACAATGGCAGAATCTGGTGGTGAAAGCTCAACACACCGCACTGCTTGGCACGGTCCGTCCAGTTCTCTGACGTCATCTGACCTTTACCACGGCCGCTGCCACCGGCCGCAGGCCATGTCTGTCGAGGGTAAATAGTGAGCGCCTACAGCGATTCGAATTCACCCTGCCACCGGTGGGTGAATCGGAGGGCAGGCAATCTAACCAACTGAGCCACCGGGACAGAGAATGAATGATACGGGGAACTTAACATTCTTCTATAAGTGCCATGTTGTGTCTGCAATGAGGTAATATACTTAAAAATAATTGCTGACTGGTATATAGTACCGCAACTCGATAATCCAACTGCCAAAGTGGTGGTAAAAGGGGGCGATAAATGATTATTCCCCACAAGATGAGCACCATATGACGTCATCAGCAAGTGGTGACCCACCGATAACGCGCGTGAGGTGCTTTTGGTTGAAGTGGGACGTGCCATAATCGTGATTAATCGACTAGAGTATTTGGTAGCAGCAGCGGTATCTACTTACAACTTTGTTCCTCTTTTTAGTATTCTAGTTAAGATATCTCAACGGATAACTCCGTATTGCTGCAGCGGTTCACATGCACGCGGTATGACCTTTTTCGAAAGCGGCTCAGTGCTATGATTGTACAGTGTCTGCCCGCAGGCATAGCTAACAGCACACGGCGAGCACGTCGAGTCAGTTTTGATATGATGGGGTTCACCATGTGTGTTTTTTTCAGCAGCTGGCATGCCACAACTTTCAATAAACTTGAGGAACAGTAACAGTGGCTGGCGTACCACAACTTTCAATAACCTGCGGAGCTTCAAAACCTCATTTCGTTCGCGTGTAGACCTCTTTGATCGCATGATGCTTGCTTTGCCTTGACAGTAATCTGCGAAGATCCGGGTCAAAAACTTGAATTTTGCCTAAGAGATTCCGCTGCGTTGCGGTTAAACATATTCCAAAGCTGATAGTCCAAAAAGACCGACCATTTCACCAAAGACAGACCGAACATGGAATCAATGCACATCGCTTTTGCGGTTCACCTAAATGTTGGTCTCCAAATAGCATCGCGAATACGCACACAATGCTTCGCCCGATTAATTCTCCTGCCGTTATTAGGCGTTATTGAGTCCTGAGAAGGACTGAATTGTGTTGGCTTTGTTGGCTCGGCATCAATTCCAGCCATGTTTGGGCCGCAACACGAATTCTTGACTTGAATTGCCGGATTCAAAGCGGAGTATTCTGATTGCGAGTCCAGTGCTCCATAAGCTGCCCTGCGCGAATAGCTCCGTCGCTACAACCCTAGACTCGCAATCAGAAGACCCAGGTTCGAATCCTTGCATTTCCAAGGAGATCGGTCTGATCGTGTCACTTCCATGGATGAAAACTAAACATCGGCCTGTCGTTCCCCAGACTCAAATGTAACGACAGCGGTAGTGTCAACTGGGCGAAATGTGTGCATACTAACACACCGGACGGGGACGATTTATGAACAATGATCCCAACCGAGGCCAAGTCTGCTGCATATGAGCCATTTATCGTGTAGGATAGCGCATATATGCGCGGGAAATATTTAGACGTGTAAATGGAACATTAAGCAGCCTGGGCCATAGCAGCGTGCGACCAAAGCAGTGCGACTAAGGTACAGAATCGTGTGCTCGCTGGAGCAGTTCACGGATTGCATCAATCCGAGCGGAGGATTGGACCGGATCAGGAATGTTCACCAAAACTTGGATTAGAACCGGACCGGATGCTCGAATCTGCCGGCTCACGCGGGCTGAAGGGATTTAAAACAGATGAAAACGTATTATCGTCGAATAGTCCCTGAAATGTTCAATGAAGACATCGACTTAGAAAAGGATCCCCAATGAAATACATTATGTAATGAACACATGACATTAAAAAATTGATAAGAATGAGATACATTCATAAATGGTTCTATGGAAATCTAGATCACTTATGTTTGTCGCAGTAGCTGAAATGTCTGATAATCTAATAACCTATCTTATTATAATCTTGTCAGAAATCCCATTTCACACTACTGAGTGATGTTGCATTTCAGAGCTGAAAATTAGGCAGCAGCATGTCTTATTGGTAGAAAGCGTGCCACAGAGTTTTGAAATCCAAATTCCTGTCCAATAAATATACAAAAAGATTGACTTCATGTCACCACTTTAGTTTCCATTTACCTAGTCAGTCAGCCAATTTTAGAACAATGGCAGCAGCTTTAATTCAAGCATGCTGAACCAGCTGATCCATTTCCACGTGTCTACCAGAACAACAATTGTTGCATCTCTACACGTCATTTTTACCTACTCTCCCTAAGAAATGTATCTCAAAGCGAAGGCGAAAAGAACGTTCACTGAACCACGAGAGTGGGATACTCATATCAATGTCTGCCCTTCACGAGAGAAGACTGAAGCGCTCTCATTGTTCAAAGTTCTATTTACACTTTTTCACGAAATATCAGTTGAGATGCAATTGCGCTCATTACAACACTTAAAGAGCGAGGTATACTTTAATGGTCTAAACCTTTTTCAACACTGTTGTCTGAGGAGAGTTTATGGGCAACTGGTGGGCACATTCCACCGCCTCCCAATTTTTGGAGGGTCATTCTAGTTTCGTTTTAAACATGCTCATCATCCTTAATGCCTTGTTTTCCCAGCGTAAGATACCTCTCTAGTATGCTTGGCAATCCCAACTCCATTTTCTGTAACAAGTGAAGCATAATTGCACGTCTTTGACACGAGAAACGTGTTCCTATTTTTCTGGTTTCGGAGCAGTGGCGGTCTTTGAAAAACACTGCACGGTGGTCTGTTGCCGCAGGATGCGGCGGCCAGCAACCGACGATACCACGGGACGCGTGAGGCGAGCTGGCAGTGTTACGTAAACGAAGCCTTACGCAATGAGCACATCCTTATCACACATGAAATATGGCTGATGACTGAGCTCAGAGTTAAGCAAAGAATACGCCTGTTCAAGCTTTGTTTCCCGCAAGGCATGGTCTAGCAGGTATGAAAAGCTGACAAAGTGCGATTTTTTCGAAATTTCAATACTTGACCAGCCACAATGGGCCATTCACTGAGTTAACTACATGAAACCTAGTACCAACTGCGCGATCTCGTTGATACCAACCCACTGATATTTTTCGCTCGGCTCCATCTCCATTAGGTTGGAAAAGACCCGGGGTTGGGTTTGCATCACCTCTTCCTCTCTATCAGTCGAGTTATAAAAACGGGGAACTAGGTCGACGGATAAAGAGACAGCT